ATTTAAGAAATTAGTTCAAATTTTTACAACACTCAAGTAAGGAACACGAAGTGCGCCAAAAATTGTTTAAATAATTTTTTTAAACAAATTTCAAAAATCGGTCTTACTGGCCCAGACAAAGTTTTTTTGGGGTTTTTGTATTCTTCTGAACAAAAAAAGCTTCCCAGCAACTTTTCTCTGGTACCTAAACGATTTATGTTTTAAAAATACGCAAAAATGGCCATTTTCAACTCCGAAAAACAATATGAAAAAAGAAAAATTCTGATATTGCCAAATGTCACAAATATTCTTGGACTATCCATTAACAAAATCCTGGAGCATTTCAGTTCATAATATTAATTTAAACCTTAGTTTTTAATTTTTAATCAAGTTCCTATATATCACGAAAATATTACTATATTATATGAAAAGTATTAAAATCGTTAATATTAATTTAAAGAAGTATATATGAATATAAAAAAAACTTTTTATACATAAATATTTCTTATTAATCTTGAGCAATATTTGGAAGAATATTTATAATAAAGCAGTTAATTAAAATACAACATAAAAATGAGTTTTTATTTCTTTTAAATCTTTCGGATTACAATTACAATTAAAAATTAGTGAACAAACTTCATACTCATCACATATTTATAGACTACAAAGCAGCCTACGACTCTGTGGATAAGAAAAAAATGTTAAAAGCAATGAAAGCTAGAAATACCAAATCAGTTGGTAAATTTACCAAAACTAACCCTGAAAAAGTTAAATGTAGAGTACGAATTCACAACCTGATGATATCAATATTTTTGGGAGAACGGAAAACGTTGTAGGAGAGGCTACAAAAATGGGTTTAATGATAAACTCTTACAAAACGAAGTATATGAAAATAAGGACTCAACCACAAATCCTACGACCCCACTTGTTATGGAAAACGACGTCATCGAAGCAGCGAATGAATTTGTTTACCTGGGAGCGCTCCCTAACACTGAAAATAATACTACCGCAGAGATAAACCGCAGAATTTGCACGGCCAACAGATGCTATTTTAGGCTTAATCTTAGAAATACAAAAATAAAACTCTACAAAACAATAATACGCCCCGTCCTAACATATGGTTTAGAGATCTGGACTCTAACAAAAAGTAATGAAAACACAATGTTTCGAAGTATTTTAGGCGAATCTATGGAGCAGTGAATGACAATGGAGTGTGGAGAAGACGATAGAACTTCGAACTTTATAGAATATACCAGGAACCAGATATCGTAAAATATATTGAGATAGAACGTTTGAGGTGGATAGGACATGTAATTCAGAGAGAACAAAATGATCCCCCTAGAAAAACGCTCCTTGATAACATCAAGGTAAAAGTAAAATTAAATTGATTGTGAGTAAGTCTTATTATTTCTTTTTACCTATTTGAAATGAACTCACAAAGGCAACACATTCATGATTTTAAAAAAGTACGTGTGTGTCTGACCAAAGATGCTGCTAGTAGAACATTCAGTAAAACAGTTGCGTGAGCAAACAGAAGAACGCGATAAAGACTGCAGCGGGTCCAAGAAGATACTCCAAGAATGACTGAAGACTGTTCTCAGCAAGAATGCAGACGACGACGACGACCCAGAGACATTCCAGTTTCAATCAGCAGAAGAAGCAGTTTTAACGAAAATAATTGATGGAAAATTTGAGAATGTCCCGCAAATGATCGAAGAGAGTTCTAGAAAGAATGATGAGAGTGTTTCCAAAAGATTCGATGAAACGTCTCAAATTATTAAAGAAACGGTTAGACAAAATGACGAGAAATTCGAAAATGTTGCTAGAAGATTCGACGAGACTTCTCAAATAATTAAAAAAGTATATAGTCAAAACAATGAGAAATTTGAAGAAGTATCTAGAACATTCGATAAGATACAGAAAAATGTAAACGACGTAGAAGAAAAGATCAAACAATTAGAGACCATGATAACTAATTCGAAAGTGCTACCACCAGTTAATGCAGTAGTTTTAGAGCCGGTAGTGAAAGAAGAATCACCTAGAGACGAAACGACACATCATATGAGATTCAAATTGCCACCGTTCGATGAAAAGTCTTCTTGGTCCATATACTTTAGACAATTTGAAGCTACAGCGACAGCTAATCATTGGACACAACAAGAAAAAGCTGTTTCTTTGACTGCTGCTTTACGAGGTGATGCTGCAGATATTCTAAGATCGATTCCTAGGGGGTCAAGAAAAGTGTTACCAGACCGTGTTTACTCGACTGGACAAACTTTACGGAGATGCAAATCTATAAGAACTGTAGATACCTTCGTCAATGGGTTGAGAGACAGCGACCTACAAAAAGCTTTAAGACTAGCAAGACCGAAAGTTTTAGATGAAGCGCTCGCCATTGCTTTGCAACACGAGACAGCTAGTCGAGCTTCACGGAGCTATCGAGTACGAACCTCTGAAGAGAGCGACGAACGAAACAATAAATATCTGGAAGAAACCATACGGAAAGTAGTTCATAACATGCTGCCGAAAATACGCGAAACCAGATGTTGGAATGGTGGCGACATAGGTCACATTCGCAGTAAATTGCAAGAAAATAATACAACAGTCAGCAAGCTAAAACATATCGAACACTGGGCTGGAAAAGTCATTCAAATGCTGATGCTCAGTCAAGACGGCCATCCAGTGCAAATCGTTATCATTGTCTTAAATTAGAGGAACGACTTTGCTCCGTGAGACGAACCACCGTCATTAATGATTAATGGCAGCCTCAACAGCTACAAGTCGCTTAAGCAGATAATTCATCTATAAAAAGAGTATTGGATTGCATGCGTCGAAGTGGAAGACCTTCTTGGTAAGATGGTAGTGCATGTAGTCCAGAAGTCAAGTGTTACTGGAGCCAATGGAATTGCCTAGTGCTAAAAGATGATCTTCTGCATACGAGTAGAACCTTTGAAAACGATGATGGTACAGAATCTAAGCTTCAGTTGATTGTACCTAAAAGTAAAGTGTCAGAAGTATTGGGTCAGTTGCATGACGGTGCATCAGGTGGACACTTTGGTATTACGAAGACTCTTAAGATTCGACGAGACCATGGTTATCCATTAACCATTCTAGTGCAAAAGGTTCGAGAACGGTTCTATTATGTGAACTGTAAAGATGATGTAAGAAGATGGTGCCGGAAATGTGAACTGTGTGCAACCAGTAAGTAATGGTTCAGTTGGTAAAAATAGGGCACCCATGAAACAGTACTATGTTGGTAGTCCTATGGAAAGAGTAGCAATCGACATTATAGGTCCACTTCCAGAGACGAATAATGGAAATGAATGTCCTTCAAAGACAGTAGATTGTTATTTCTTTCTGAGGGGTGAATGCATAGCTGGAAAGTCCTGTAGATTCCGCCATCCTAGGCCTACATATAAGTTGCTGATCGGGACGCTCAGATCTATGAGGGGAGCAGTGTTACGAACATGCATTCGACGTAGCCCATATAACGGTTGCATCTCTCGAGAGGACGAGAAGCTTCCAGATGAATCAAGCGCGGGAGAGATCGTCCCATCAAACAAACGAATTAGAGGTGGACTAATCCAGAATATTCTAGTACATAATAACTTTTATATATAAGCAGACCTTCTATGATATATAAGTTTAGTTGTTAAGGTATATATATATATATATATATATATATATATATATATATATATATATATATATATATATATATATATATTTATATGAGTTAAGAACGGCTCGTTTTATTTAATCTCGCTACATTATTATCTGATGTGAGGAATTACAAAAAAAATGTATTTGCAATTTAAACAAATTTCAATAAATATCTTAAAACAATAAAGAAATCTAAGCGAAAATTTTAATTAGTTAGGCACAGTTTTAAAGAAGAATAATCAAGAATTCGCTCCAATATTGTCTTAGATATACCTATAGACAAGGCAAAAAGCTCAGATTTTTTTGCATAATCATTACCATGAGATAACCAAAGCGCTTAAGAGAGAACGGGCGCTCAGAGTGCGGCGTGTATAAAAGAGAGAAACGAGATATATGGCCAAATTTTTGCTGCGAAAAAATGCAAAAATTAAGATTTTTAAAGTTCAAAACCACAGGCAAAAATATTAATTTTGAAATCATCAAGTGACTAAATTCAAGTTCAAGCCTTCTTGTATTACCTCCTGATGACAATTCTGGTATTATTTTTTTTTTAACATAGCGGGCGCTCACTTGTACAATGAGAATTCAAACCAGCAAAAATGTGTACCATAGATCTTGTTTCTCTCTCTCATACACGCCGCAGCTCGAGCACCTGTCCTATTTTAAGTTCTTCATTAACTAACAAAAACCAATGTTTTAAATTAAATAAGCACAAAATACTTATAGCGAAATGAGATAACAAGGGTTGAATTTGAATTTAGGTCCTTGGTGAATTCAAAAATAATATTTTCTAGTTATGTATTTGAGCCTTTAAAATCGTAATTTTGCGTGTAGTTTTCAATTTTAAATTTTTAATAACTCAAAAACGATTAAGTTTACAGAAAAATTACAAAAGACCTATTTTGTTCAGAATGCCCCAAAAAATTAAGAAAAAAATTGTCTGGGCCGAAAAAATTCATAGTTAAAATTTATTTAAAAAAATGTGAACAACTTTTCACCTTTGCGACCTCTTGAACCTTATTGTGGATTGTGGAGTATCTCTTGAAAGAGATTATGCAAAAAAGTCTTATTTGAATATTTTTCCGAAACGAACTCGAATGTTTTGCATTGTCTAGTCTACTAGAATATATTTGTTCTTTGAAATATATTTAAATGAAGGCACAAAAAAAAAACAAAAAACTGCTTGTTAGATTAGATGCTTTCTGACACTCTTTAGGTACCTAAATCAATTTTATTCATTCAAGTACGATCAATAAATTATACACTTACAATTCAAAATATACGATAAGATCATGAGGGTCAAAGTATAAAAATATTTAAATATAATTAACAGTCTCGTAGAAACAAAGAAGACTTACCTATTACGATGGAAAATATCACAGCTCGTTGAATAACATTCATTTTCATATTAGGTATTAAACAGCTAAAGTTTAAAAAAAAAGTAAATTCCACTTTTCAGTCCTGAACAAAAATTCTTAACTACACGTATTTACAACTCGACATATAGATAAAGACTGGCAGGACTAGCTTGGCAGTGGTAGTCATTCATGAGTCCGTGGATTATTTACTGTGTATTTGCGTTTGCGGAGGAGCAAAACCAGATGAAAACTTTAGAAAGCAATATTTTTTGTCACATATAGCTAGTATTGCCATCTAGAGGTTACTAGTAGAACATTAAAACTTTCGGAGTAGAAATCTAGCTCAATAAGTGTATTTTGTAAAGCTGTATATTAATGATAGAAATATGTGCAATATGGAATGAATATGGAAATATTTGCATGGAAATAAAAATATTTAAAAAATTCGATCTTTGATTTTTGTGTGCTTTGTCTGACCATCTAGGGATTGGTTCAACTAAAACTGAAACACTACAGAAAAGCTCACGTAACATTAAACATAAGAATTATATGCGGGAAAATTAGACAACAAAGGATTTTACATAGACACAGTGGCGGATCCAAGGGGGGGTTACGGGGTCATAACCTCTCCCAAACAAAATTAAATATCAATTAAATAATACTAAAAAAATAATTAAAAACCCATTAACCCTATAAGCAGAAAGTCAAGAGTTGAAATGATTCAAACTCATTTATTCTAGAAGTAAGTGTAGAATTACGCGGAAGCATTTTTACATTGCTCTTTAAAAAAATCAACAATTCTGAATACAGTAATACCTCGACCAACGCTACCCGACTTCCGCGAATTCAGAAATACGCGATTTTCAAATTTTATGAATTTGTCATTTGAGTGCCAGAGAATTTGAGTTTCATTATTATCGATGAGATAGAATTAGCGATCACACATTATTGCCCATTCAATGTACATGACATGACTTTTCATGAAATCATCACATTTTCATTTTGTATTACGTATTTCTTATCTCAGTTTTGTCTAATTGATTGTTTGTAATTTGAATATGTATTATATTTGTTGAAACTGTGTTCTACATTTTATAATTTATCTATAATAAATCTCAAAATAAATATTGTTAAGGAACTGGGGACTGCTGTCCAAGGTATTTGTGAAACTCGTTGGGTTGAAAAGCATGAAGTTATCTTCAGTTCCAGGGCAAATAAATCATTAAAATATACAACGCTCTTGAAGCAATTTTTACGTGGAAGGACAGTATCTAAAATTTCAGCTGATGCATTTTCAATAATACAAACTATTAGGAGCCCATAATATCTCATTTCAGTAGTTTGTCTTAGTTTTAGGTATAACTGTATCACTTAGTCGTCTCCTTCAGTCACCAAAATTAGATTTGAATCTATAGATAGAGGCCATAACCCAGACAGCACAAGATATGCCTGGGACGTAGGGCCCACAAGACATATTATGCCATTTTAAGGTCCAAACGTCCCGGGACTTCTTTTGGACGCCCTATGGTGGAGCAGTATTTTGTTTGTATTTTGAGAACGATTTCCGAAGTGGAAATTGAAACGTCAATAAACGTATTTTTATCTTTAATTGTGACTTATTCCCTGTTAAATAGTAAATAAAGATAAACAGTCTCCGATTGCAGAAGGAATTATAAGAAGTGAGATACTGTTTTGTTAAATCCGTGTAACACAGATTTATTAAGATTATTTTCTAACGCAATAGCGATATAAGGCATTGAATAACTCTTACCCATCACACTTTAAAGCTTTCAAAGTACCGATTCCACTCGTTGCTATTTTTTTTATAATTCACCCCTAATAGCCCACGTACGTCCCTCACGGACTTAAGGACGTCCCTCGAACGGCCGCTTTGGTTCCAAATACGTCCTATATTGGTCCGAATGTCGCTGCGCTAAACGTCCTATGGATGTCCATTTTACGTCCCGGGCGGACGTTATTGGACCTTATTCGAATGTCCATAATACGTCTGGAGGACTTACTTGACGGACTTTTGTGATGTTCTCGGACGTCTATTTTAGCGCTGAGGAGGTAAATTAGACGTCAATGTCATTGTATAAAGTAGTAAAAGTGGTGTCATCCTGTGCATATTAAGAATGTATTTTGGGAAATAAAACGTAAATGTTTAAAGGAACTTACATTTATTTATTATTAACAAACGGGACAAATCAACTGTCAAAATTATACAAAAATGCAACATTATAGAAATATAAAATAATTTTGAGTAATAAAACATAAATGTTTAAAGGAATTAACATTTATTATTATTTATTTGTTAATAACAAATAAAACAAATTCACTGTCAAAATTATACAAAAATGCAACATTATAGAATTATACCTACCCAAAATTACAGATAAAAATAAAATATACATGAATAAAATAAATAAGTACACATTTATAAAAAGTATCATTTTAGTGCTTCAAATAGTACGTAAAACTATTGATACAAATGTTTCATAGCATACCTATGTATAAACCATAATAAGTTCTGCGATAAGGAACATGGAAATGTAAATTCTGACGTGAATGGGGAGGAATATGAAAACAAACTAGCTCAAACAATTCAGGAGATTGGTTATTTTATGAAAAAGTTTAAAAATAAAGATTGAAAGGTAACACTTCTGATAAGAGAATCCAGAATAAAGAAATTGATCATACCAGAATAAGAATATGGTCTACATAATTTACAAAAACAGTAGATGCTTGTAGACAAGTCAGTATAAATCTAATCGACATAAATAAAGTTTTTTTAATGCAATTAAACAAAACATAATCTAATATCTAACATAATCTGATTCTTTAGATTTACTGTCAAAACGTCACTCAGTAAAACCTTGAAAATTTTAGGAATAGCAAAAAGAATTATAATGGAATGATAATTAGGAATCAATGAGTTAAGGATAAAATCAATAAATAAATTGTGATGAAAAGTGACCCTCAATCAGAAATTTATTAAAAATAAGCCATAGATGCCTACATAAAAAGAATACACAATTCCTTAAAACTAAGTTAAGATATTCCGTCTGGACAAAGACCTTTATTGGTATTAAGACACTGTAAGCATGCTAACGTGCATACCTTACCTTGGACAGCAATTAAATCGTAACGCAAAAAGTCACGGCGAACTTAGATCTAGGTTAGAGCAGGCTAGAGCTGCTTTTCGAAGGATGTCCAAGGTGTTATGTAACAGAGACCTAAACCTGGCATTGAGGATCCGCCTACTTCGCTGCTACGTGTTCTCGGTCTTACTTTATGGTGTCTAGTCCTGGACTGTGAATAAAATCGACCTAAATCGCCTTAAGGCTTTCGAAATGTGGTGATATAGAAGAATTTTAAAAGTTTCCTGGGTGGAAAAGATTCGAAACTCCACAATACTAGAACGTCTCAGCAAGACTACTGAGATCATAAAAAGCATCAAGCAGAGAAAGCTGGAGTATTTCGGACATGTAATGAGAGGTTCCAAATATAGGTTGCTACAAAATATCATGCAAGAAAAAATAGCAGGCAAACGCAGTCCAGGACGAAGAAGAACCTCATGGTTGAAGAACTTACGAGATTGGTATGGTTATTGATACAAGCATACTATTTAGGGTGGCAGTGAATAAAATTGAGATAGCTATGATGGTAATCAACGTTCTGAAAGGACATGGTACATGAAGAAGAAGCATGCTAGAATGCCACACATTTTAATAGTTAAAGAGTGAATATGGCTGTGACTGATATGGGATCTTTGACTACACTTTTGAATACTGCCAAGTCTTTATTCCTCTGAAGATTTTTCTGAGCAACTTTGTTTCTCAGATCTCTACTTTATTTTCTTCCTGCTGTTTCATAATCCACGTTTCACTGGCATGCATCACTGTGGGTCTGATTACTGTCTCGTAGACTCGCAGTTTAGCTGTTCTTAGCACATTTTTTTTTGCTTTTAATAATGAATTTAGTGACCACTCTGATTCCCTTCATAAATCTTTTGTCTATCTCTATTTCTTCTTTTCCCGCATTTGTTATAGTTACCACTAAGTATTCAAATTCTAACATTTTTTCAAAACTATAGATTGTCTCTGCTCCTTTCATTTTAATATATTTGTTGTCTCCTGTCATTTCTATATATTGCGTTTTTGTTTGGTTTATTATTAATCCGCATCTTTTCGCTTCTTCAAATTTCTGGAAAACTTTTTCTAAATGTTTTTTTGATCGCGCTAGTATCACATTATCCGCGTACGCTATGCACTGTTCCCTGCTATTGAAAATAGTCATGTTTGTGTACTTATTGTGGCAGCCGTAGCTCAGCGGCTTTGTACTGGCTTAACAAGCTGGAGGGCCCGGGTTTGAATCCTGGCACCGACAAAAATTTTCAATTTCTAATTTAACTGTGTTTCGGAGGGCATGTAAAGCCGTCGGTCCCGGCTACGCAAGTAGTCGTTAAGTCATGTTAGGGGCGCTTGCGCAACCTGAAAACCCTAACACTAGACTTTAGCCAGAAGGTTACACGAATTTTATTTTTTTTTGTTCATATTTGATCTCCTTACGTCTTCCTAAGCTTTTCTGGTATTTCTAATGTTCTTATAGAGCATCTTTCAATTTAGGGAGTCATATCCTTGTTTAAAATCGATACATAATAATATAATCCCAAGTTTAGTTCGTAGCTATTCTTTCTTCTTAAAGTGCCCTCTCCTCAATGGAGGTTGGCTACTACAATTTTAAACTCTTCTCTATCTTCAGCTGTTCTTATTAGCTGTTCAAAATTTAGCCCTGTCCATTGTCGGATGTTTCGGAGCCACGATAGTCTTTTCCTTCCTAGGCCTCTTTTTCTCTAGATTTTTCCTTTCACTATAAGTTGGGCATATTGGTACTTATTATTTCTCAGTATGTGGCCTAGGTATGATGTTTTTCTAACTTTTACTGTGTTAAAAAGCTCTCTTTCCTTGCCTATTCTATGCAGCACTTCTTCGTTTGACGTATGCGATGTCCATGAAATTTTGAGTATTTTCCGGTAGATCCACATTTCAAAGGCCTCCAATTTATTTACGGTTCATGTTTTAAGGGTCCACGTTTCAACTGCATATAGAAGAGTCGACCAGACGTAGCATTTTGATAAACGTAGTAGAATTTCGATTTTTATTCGAGAATCACAAAGCAGTTTTTTTTATTTTTTTCGAAAGATTTTCTGGCCTGTTCTATTCTCGATCAGGATTTAGGCTGCTGTCGCAACATCCCAGGTACTTAAATCTATTGACCTGTTCTAAAATGTGCCCATTTATTGTGCAATGTTGAGGTACGTTTTGGTTTTTTCGGATTGACATCACTTTGGTTTTTTTAATGTTTATTTTCATACCAAATTGCTCACAGGCCGAGTTGGTCTTGTCGATGATTCGTTGTAGACCAAGTCGGAATCCGCAATTAACACTGTATCATCGGCGTATCTGATACTGTTGATATTTACGCCATTCACATTGACTCCATCCTTGGAATTCTCCAATGCTTCTTTAAATAGAAACTCGGAGTAAAGATTAAACAGCAGAGGCGACACAACACATCCTTGTCTAACTCCCCTCCTAATTTCTACTTCTGCGGATGTGGAACCTTCGATCCTAACTCTGGCGTTTTGGTTCCAGTACAAGTTTTTTAAGAATTTGATGTCTTTTCCATCTAAACCGACTTCTTGCAAACGTTCTACTAGTAGGTCGTGTCTTACTCTATCAAATGCTTTTTCGAAGTCTATAAAGCATATAAATATATCTTTTTGTTGGTCGTAGCATTTTTGGACACGAAATTAGTAAACTGAACAGGGCGTCTCTCGTTCCCATGCCGGCTCTGAATCCAAACTGATCGTCTCCGATGATTGTTTCGCACTTTCTATAGATAGCTATTATTTTGTATTAACTTTAACATACTTACTTGATCAGTAGTTGTTCTTCCTGGTATTCTCCAATCGCTTTGTAGTCATATTTTATTAATCTTTTCCTAATAATTTTGGCAAGTATTTTATAGACAACTTTTAATATTGCTATACCTCTATAGGTTTCGCACTCCGTTTTGTCTCCTTTTTACAGATAGGACAAATAAGAGCGGTATTCTATTGTTTCGGGATTTCTTGCTTTTGCCAAATTATTAGTGTCAAGTGAAATATCCTTTCCTTCAATCTTTCGCCAGCTTTCTTAAAAATCTCAGCTTGCATACCACTTCCTCCTGCACTTTTTTATTTTTTAGGTCTCTTATTATTTCTTTGACTTTATTTAAAGTTGGTACCTCGTAAGTCCCTTCTTCATCTTCTTGCCAATTTTCATTTCATTTAAGTTCCTCTTGTTGGTCTGTATTTAATAGATCTTCGAAATAATCCGCCCATCTGGTTAATTAATTAAACTTATCATTATTATCCAATGTTTTTAAAAACTTATTAGCAACGTTTGAGGATTACAAATAAAAAAATGTATTAAAAATTATTTTATTCCCAAATTAATTTACATATAGTATACACTGTTTAAAATGGTTCTAATAAAAAAGCATTTTTAAATTATTTATACAAATACCTTCATAAAAATACTTAAAAGAATAGCACAAATACAACAGCTCTTTTTGAACACCCAGTACAGTAAAAACATATTAAATAGAGATTCTTTGGTAAAAAATATTTATTGATAATTTTTGAAAATTTAAAACACGGCGAAAAATAAAAAATGTACAAAAATGTGTATAAATTATATAAATATATTAAACATAAATGATGATACAAACTGCAAAGTTTAAAAATCACAATACAATTTTGTTTACTTTTTTGAAAATTGATAAAATTCTTTTACATTGGTTCTCTTTCAAGAAAATATTAAATAATTTATAGATGAATGTTTTTTACACACACAATAACGAAGGCAACATTAAACATTATGACTGTTGTGACTAAATATGAACTGTTTCAAAAAGTTAATAGCATGGAAAGTTTTTTCATCATATTTCAGCAATTTATCATCAATTATTAGAATAAGATAGACTGAAAATGAAGGAATAGGTTTCAACGCAACAAATTAACAATAAATACAGTATATTGAAGTAAAACGTAAAATCACTGAAAGCAGAATACTTTTGAACTGTTAAATATAGTCGCGCCACTTTTCATGGGAGTGAAAGAAAAACTAGGGAGTTTATTTGTAAAAATGGAATACCTAAGCTCTAACGTCACAATTGGCAGGGTATTTAAAAACCTTTCCAAACATTTCTAATTCGTGTGTATTTGTCCCATAAGAAGTTAGAAATATTTTTTATTTTAATTGTTTGAAGAATAAATAAGGACTTTTGGTTACGAATATTCATTATGTGTGGTTGGTATTATTTGTTGTTCGTGAATTTGTGAGGTACGAATATCAAAGTATCAAGATATTTACCATGAATATTCATATTTTAGGTTATGTTATTGTTTGATTAAAACTGTAATTCTTTTTTACTGTATTTCAACGTATTTTGTTGTTTTTATCGGAATTATTTCAAAATTAATCAATAAATTATTAAATTGATTTACTAAGTTAAACAATTTTTGAATTAATGTTTTGTTCTTTTTTTATTACTAGTGATTGAATCCCCTAAAAGACTAAATATGTTCGTTTTCTAGTAGCTTAAATAGTTAATAGCAGTTTTGTTGCCATTACTGAAAAATTCAGTAATACTGAATATCTTCAACATATGTTGAAGCTAGCGACTATATGCCCAGATCTAAAAACATAATTCAAAATTTATTACACCATTCAAAAAATATTTTTTTATACACTCATTATGGCAATTTGATAGAAACGTTTCCACATAATGTTATATTACAACTTAAACTACGAGAAAACGAAGATATTTAATCTTTTACAGGATAAAATCACTGGAACAAAAAAAAAAAAAGGATTAAAAGAAACATTAATATAAATATTTTCTAACTACGTAAATAGATTCAATGCTTTATTTCGAAATAACCCCGATAAAAACTACAACAAAATAATATAACCTTAAAATATGAACATTCATAATAAATATTTTACTACTTTGATATTCTTACCTCACAAATTCACTAACAACAAATAATACCACTGGCACAGAATGAATGTGCATAACCAAAAGTCCTTATTTATTCTTCAAACAATTAAAAAAACCAATATTTCCAACTTCTTATGGGAGAAATACATAAAAATTTTGTGGAAATAAATGTTTGGAAAAGTTTTTAATACCCCCGCTCATTGTGACGTCAGACTTAGGTTGTCCATTAGTTATTGAAGAACGAAATTTTTATTAAACGAGTCATTATCAGATATTATGGTCATCACGGACACATGAGTCCGTGATGACCACTGTTGGAAATTCGGCTCTTTTGAAACGATATAAAAACGAATTTGCTATATCCAAAATGTAATTGAAAGTTGAAAACGAATTGTGGAGCCTACGAACTGTGTAGATCAACAAGCTATTATGTTTTTTATCACAAATATCAAGAAATATCGTTACCAAATGCTACTATACAGAAAATACTAAATGTGACATGAAAAGATATTGTAAGGGGAGATCTGCAGGAAAACCGCAGTTTAAGATTGCTAGCTGGCAGATACTGTTTTAGACAATTTGTGTAAATGTTTTTTGATTTGGGAAAAATATTTCAGGGAAGTAAATACTTAAACGGAACAAGAATTATCAATAAGAAAACGACAATATGGGAGAATATTTGCAGCACGATTGGTTGCAAATATCCTTGCAAGGCACCGCAACTTAAGGAAACATTTATAATTGAAAGATCTATATAGACTAACTGTATTGAGGTCCATGTTACAATACAGCGTTATAACCATCAATAGAAGTTATATACATTTTTGTTAATAAATCCTGGAAGAATAATAGGTGTGTGTGATTTTTAAATAATGTGACGACAAAATAATTAGCAAAAATATTATAAAAGAAGTGTAAACTGTTATGGATTACACGCATCAAGATACAATATATTTCCACAGATGTACGCTTGTTTCTTGTCAAATCTTAACTTACCTCAAACATATGCTTTCAAAATTAAGAACATATAATTTTAAAAAAGCCTGAACCTATTGGACAAGTACCTACTGATGTATGGGCTCCTTTGTACATTACCGTGGTGCTGTTGTCGATGTTAACAGCAACTGACTTGTCTAAAACATTAGACAACTAGTTCTAAGTAAGCATCTAACCAACTTTTATGTGACGATATGACTTATTAACGATTGGATGGATGTGAGGTTTTTGAGGATGACACAAAGATATCAAACTTATGTCGAATTATCAATGTTTACATTAATAATCTTTTCTCCAATTCCCCATCTTTTTAAGGAGATTGTGACGTAATCTAATATTGTTAGCTGACAAACAAGACATTCTGCAATCACATTCCTTTTTCGCATGTACTAGGCAATCTAATTTTGTTTTTTATTTTAATATACCAATGGAGATGTTTAACCTTGCCTGGTGTTGCCTCGTGCGTAAAAAACATTTATATAAATTTTTTATTGGTCAGATAATCTTAAAAGGAACACAATGTTCTACAGCACTAAACCCGAACATATACTAAAATCTAAAAAAAGCCTGTACAATTTTAAAAACTTTAAATACAAACTATGTACAAAAATATTCATTTATAAGGAAGACTGTACAATAATTTAAAACTCGAACGTAACTTCTTACGATACACAAGGTTTTTCAAATATTAAAATTTCAAATTTCTTTTTTGCAGTTACTAAAGATGACAGCTTTTTCAACATTTTGCAAATAAAAATGCCATAATAAAATCATAGAACAGATTACGAAATGGAAGGACAGCAACACAGGAACCAATGCTAAACAGATAGGTTGATATTGACAAAAGAAAAGTGGTTACCTATGTCCAGAAATGGACGCGAACGTTCTATTTTTTAAATTTACAGCATAGCTTCAACAATTTTGCCTATGAAGGGATCAGCCGGAACGATTGCATAAGCAAAATGACAAAAACAATGAAACCACTGACGAAAATAAAGCAATTGCGAAGAATTTATGATCAGTAAATGAGAACAGAACCCACAACCGAGTCCATAAATATGAAGGATAAAATGTGGGTACACATCTTAAAGAGTAAAAATTTGTTTAAAGCACAAAGACCTATTATTAATGAAGTAGAATAAAATCGACTTGAAGAGAAAAACACGCATATGGACAGACATATTTATCTCACGAATCGCGTCCAACTATTGGCTTCTATTAAAAATGAGGTTTTCCAAAATGGGGGATTTCACTCAGGATTAGGTAATTCTACTACCTGAAACATGGCGATAATTGTGACAAGGAGCCCAAGAAATCATCCAATTTCTTATCACATGGCTGCCAACTGTCAGGCATTTGCTGCACTTGAATATAAAGACATGATTCAATGGAAAAGATAGTCTATCAAGACCTAACTCTGGAACTTATCAAGCAATCTAATTATGAAGGTACCTGATAGTATGATACAAAATGAAAACTACAAACTACACTGGAAAAGTACCGTGCTCACAGACAAACTATTGGCACTTAATATACTTATCCAGTCTCATACTGGTTAATAAACTAAATCGCAAACATCGCTTTAACATGTGGCCGTACTTAAAAATAGTAATCTTCAAGTTAAATATAATGGGTAACTATAAATCCCGTCAGTTATAATTCAAAAAGCAATGGAAAATAAAAAGTATCCTTCGGAAGAGCCACCTACAGAATATCAAACAGCTGGGTATTGGTACCGGACCACCTATTCTCGAAGCGGAAGTAGAAGCTGCTATAAACAAGATTAAGGAGGGAAAAGCCGCAGGACTTGTGAAAATTATGGATAAAGACGAAGTAAAAAGACTTACCTTGATCTTCAACAATACAAAGTGGAAAAATACTCCAACAGTGGCCAAGATAAACTTTTATAACAATCCCTAAAAAACCCAATGCCAAAAAATGAGAAGATTATCGAATAATAAGCCTTATGAGCCATCTCCTGAAAACTTTGCCGTATAATAAATAATATCTATTACGAACAAACTGCAGCTGTTAGTGTTGGGGATCAGTTGACATAAAGATAAAAAGAGGTGTGCGACAGGGATGTAGATTGTCCGCATTATTGTTCAATACATATTCAGAGCACATTATGAACCTAGCGCTAACGGCCTTAGACGAGGGAATACTTATGAACGGAGAACGATAGAAAAACTTTGTGCCATCCTGCAGACACTTGTCTCCAGGGTGGCACAAGTAAGTAGCAGGTTTGGGCTGGATTTTAACATAAAAAAATCCAAATATATGGTTATAAGCAAAAATAGGATACCACCTGGTCAATTACTAGTTAACCAACAACCGATAACACAAATCAACAACTTTTATTATCTGGGTGCAAACTTAAATGAACAGTGGGACTAATCGGCGGAAATTAAGATAAGGATCGAGAAGGCAAGATCAGCTTTCGTCAAAATGAAAAAAATCTTTAACAGCCACGACATAAAATTTAAAAAATTGGAAATAAAAGTTCGTTTACTAAAATGCTACGTATTTTCCGTTCTTTTATAGGGCGTGGAGTCATGGACCTTAATTGAAGCATCACTGAAGAGACTCGAAGCATTTGAGATGTGGTGCTATAGACGCATGTTGAGGATTTCCTGGACAGACAGAGTTACCAACGAAGAAGTACTACATAGAATGAGTAAAGAGCGCGAACTAGTCGTAACCATAAAACGTCGCAAACTGGAATACCTGGGCCATATAATGCGCAATGAATAACGATATGACCTACTTCGGACCATACTTCAAGGTAAAGTGCATGGGAAAAGAGGTCCAGGACGAAGAAGAATATCCTGGCTGCATAACCTGCGAAAATGGTTTAACTTAAACCACTACCGGACTTTTCAGGGCAGCAGTCAACAAATTCAACAGCACAAGAATAGCCATGTTGGTGTCCAACATCCGTAACGGATAGGCACCATAAGAAGAAGGGTGTTGGTGAAAATATTCATAAGAATGTAAAATGCGGTACTACTCACGATGTCCACGGGCATCAGAATGGATTCCAGCGTATTATAAATTATGCTGGTCCCTAGATGAAAGGTTGGATTAGATGTACCGACCTTCATCCTACGCATTACTTGAAGCCTTGCCAGGACGTGGTGACAACTCTAAATATTAATAAATTGCCGTCTTCTTGGCCTCAATCAGGTGCCAGATCAACGGCTTCATGTAGGAATTTTTCCCACCATAGTCTTCATTTGGTTTGAATATCGTGTTGGGAGATCTTTCTTTCGATCTTCAGCAGCAGTATCCAACTGCTGCTTTGTAAATGTCGTCCTGGCCTTTTCTACCTTCCTATAATTTCTTCTAATTTTTAAATTTGTATTAATATTTCCGATATGATTGTCCCAATATGTATTTTTTATTTTCAATAAAAAATAATAAAAATTAGACCTACATACTTCAAAAATAAAAATATTTTTCAAGTATGAGGATTTGACCACAAGTCGAATTCCTTTCGGTTTGACCTTCTCAATTCGTGTTCATATTTACACGTCAACAAATTATCACTTGTGTACTAAAGCAACTTTTTGTGTTCTGCTCTATGGTCTCTCAATTAATATTTAGATATTTGAAATACCTTGCGTATGACTAAGACATGTATTTTTTAATTTTTTTTTATAACTCGAACACTATATTTGAAAAATTGTGTCTATTTTATGCAAAATATATATAAAAAAAATTAAAATCGTATTTATACTTAAATTTGCTCTTAGAAAATATTTTGTATATATTTTTACTATTTTAAACTCTATAATTTAAAATCTATAAGAATAATTAAGATTCAGATTTATTTTACATGATATATTCTTCTGAAAAATTTGATTTTACATTACTGAACACGTTCCGAAGATGAGGTTTCCTAAAAAATAAAAAAAAATATATTTAAAAAAATATTAACATTAAATCAAAACAAAGAATAAATAGACCGATTAAAAATATTGATTTTAACGATTTTAAGCCGGTATTGTATAAAATCCTAATAAAACATGCATATGCGATTGTAATAAAAAGGATACTATGTATATGACGAAGATAGGTCGAAATTCTGCAGAACGAATCAACAACAACGAAGCCAAAAGAGATATATCGAGGAAAGAGTTGGACGAAAAATCAATCAATCTGCATTGATACCAATCACGTAGGTTCTTTAACCATGAGTTCTGCCTTCGGCCAACAGATCGTCTTCCTTGAATCTTTCCCTTTATGAGTCTCAAAATTTCATTTTTTGGTCTCCTCATCACGTGGCCTAGGTATACCAGTTTTCTGGTTTGTATAGTAGTGATTAGTTCTGTTTCTTTACCAACTCTCTCCAGTACTTCTTTATTTGTAATTCTCTCAGTCCATGATATTTTTAATACTCTGAGGTATAACCAGAGTTCGAAAGCCTCGATTCTTTTTAAATTGCATTTTTTTAATGTCCAAGTCACAGCTCCATATAATAATATTGAAAATATATAACAGCGAATGGTACTTAGTCTGATCTCCAAATTTAGATTTTTGCACGTTAAGAGTGGCTTCATTATTATTATGGGATATTATTGAGCGTGTTTTGGAAAATTTCTTCAGAATACAAGTTAAACAAAAGTGGCGATAAAACACATCCCTGAGTAACTCCTCTACAGATCTTCATTTCTTCTGAGTGTTTCTCCATCAGTTCTCCATCAATTTGAACTATTCCGATACAGAACAGAACAGAATAACAAATTGGAAGTCAGAATAAATGGACAACTTACAGAACATATATAGAAATAGGCAGCGGAATACGACATTGAGCCCCATGAACTTAAATTTTATCATGGATGAAATCATCAAAAGCGTTAACAAAGGAAGAGGATACAGAATGGGAAACAAAGAAATAAAAATACCCTGTTACGCAGACGACGCAAAATTGACAGCCCAAGATGAAAATAGTCTACAAAGGCTGGTCCACAGATTTAACATAAGAGCAAAATAATTTAATATTACAATCTCATCTCAGAAAACTAAAACAATAGTAGTCAGCAAAGAACCACCCATCTGTAAGATAGAAATTGATGGCAGCAGTGTTAAACAAGTCACCATCATCAATTAGCCTATATCTGTCCACTGCTAAAGGTAGGCCTGAACGTAAAATTTTCCACCTATTTCTATCTTGAGCTTCTTGCATCCTGTTTGTGGTGATGCGCTTGATATCATACGTCCATCTAGTCGGTGGTCGTCCTCTGCTTCGATATGCATCTTTTCTTGGTCGCCATTCCAGAATCTTTCTGGTCCATCTATCATCCGTTAATCTGGCAACATGTATAGCACAAGCCCATTTAGCCATGGCTATTTTTTCAACTGCATCTGAGACTCCTGTTCTTCTTCTTATTTCTAGTTTTGGTACTTTATCTATGATGGTAATAGCTAATATTGATCTTTCAATAGCGCGTTGTGTAACTCTTAATTTATCTATTGTTCTTTTTGTCAGGGTCAGCGTTTCTGCACCATATGTAAGAACCGGTAAAACGCACTGGTTAAAAACGTTTCTTTTTAAACAAACTGGGATACTAGACTTGAAAATGTTATTCAATCTACCAAAGGCAGCCCATGTGACACAACTAAACAAGTAATGGAAATAAAATACCTGGGAATTGCACTATCCAGCTACAGAGACCTGGGCAAACAAGTGAGAGATCAAGTACAAAAAGCAAATAAACTAGTAGGATGCCTTAATAACACTATACTGCGAAACAGACACATTAACACTGAGACCAATAATGACATGCCTCAGAAACGAGACCCGACACAGCTACAACACAAAGGCTACTGGAAATACGCTGAGAGATCGTGAAGAGAAGTGAAGAAATTTGAAGAAAATGCAACGTAAAGTGTATAAATGAATGAACACAAAATAGAAAAAAGAATGGAATAACCACATAAGCAGAATGGAGGAGACCTGTGTCGTCAAAATACTAAGAAATAAGTCACCCATTGGTAGAAGTATCGGACGACCGCGCAAAAGATGGGAGTGACAACCTTCCATAGAGGTATTAATCTGCCAATGAACAAGCAGAATTGCTTATAATTTTTGTTATATAAAATAATTCGCTTCTTGTAAATTAGCTGAAAGGAGTAAAAAAGGGCATGAAATATGGCGGTTCAGTGTCGGCCAAACAAAAGCAATAGCCATTCAAGCCTAACTCCAATGTCAGGTGTTTTGTTATTCTCTACAATTTTTGAAATTTTACATCCGAATAGTCCTTTAGAGGGTTAAGAAAGGGATAATAAACTCTGCCTCTCCGTTTCGCTAATATTTTCGCCTCTGTAAGAGCAGTAACTATATTTCCTTCTATTAAAAAAATATTTAAACCAGCTGAAAACAAAGTTCAATGTGAAAATATTGTATACAAATTAAAAACTATCAGTTGAAATCTTATCTAAAGTACACGGGCCCAGTGACAACTAAAATGAGAACAATTACCTGGATCATATACTAACATCGAAATACGAATGGTTCAGACCCATTCGAGTCGATGTATACGAAAAAATTCGTACAGACAGTATTTGAAAATACAAAAAAAAAACTGGATTTCGAGCGAATTTCTTCTAATTTCGTAAGAGAAGTAGGCTCGAATGAATTCGAAGATATGACTCCAGGATCGGAGTATTACGTAAGGTTATTATGACCTGGAAACCAGTTTTATATAACAGAAACCTGTCGATACATATTGGCAAAAAGGTACTGAAATGTTGTGTGGTCCATTGCATTATATAGTTGTGAGGCATGGACGTTAAGAACCACAATGCTTAACAAATTAGAAACATTCGAATTGTGGTGTTATCGATGGATCCTAAAAATATCATGGGTTTCGCACATTTCACATGAAGATATTCTTAAAATGATGAATTCAGAACGCCTGCTCACAAACAACATAATGAGGAGAAAAGCAGAATACTTCGGCCATATAATTAAGAGGAACCAAATACCATCTACTTTGCCTTACAATACAAGGAAAAGAGAATGATTAATCGAGAGAAAATTTCATGGCTACGTAATATTATACAGTGAATTGAAGAATTATTTTGAGTAGCAGCTGATGGAAAAAGGTTTCAGAAAATTGTAAACATGATGACGGCCAACGTCTGAATACGGACACGACACCTAAAAAAAAAGAAAATACTCTAGGAAGGTTCTCGGCGAAAGAAAGATATATTTAAATAAATCATCCACAGACGAAAAATTATACGGTTGTTGCGTACGGAACTAAAGGGAAAAAAGAAAACCAGCTAGACGTAAAATAATAAATAAATAAGAATATAATATTTTTACAAATAATCTAACCAACAGAAATAATATTTTATTTTAAATATATCACCTGCTTTTACTGTCGGGATCCTCTAGCAGCCTCTTCCAGAGCTCTTACTTTAAGTTCGCGTTCTCTTTGTTGCCTAAAATGTGAAAACTACTATTATATAGAGGACCATTCTTCCGAAGGCCGTTACTTTCTATTTTCTAAATATTAAACCACTTTCACCATCTAACACTACATTTCAATAAAATTTCGCCTGAAAATAAGGAAAAAAAAAACTAAGTGACTAGGCATTTTCAAAAGCGAATAACTTGAGCACTTGTTCTAAAACATGTTGAGTTGTGTATTGAGAAAAATAATGATATATTTTTGTTGTAACTAAGCTTACATTACATTTTATATCAATACTCCAGTCGGCAGAGACCAAAATGCCACTGAATCTCTAAAAATCATACGAACAAGTTGAATTTTGCCAAAAAAAAGTCAATTTTAGCACGCTAAAAAAGATACAAAAAAGTTTATCACTTTTACTCCGAGGTTTTCTGTAAAATCCCCCCCCCTCGTATAAGGGAAACGGAAAAAATCGTTTTACCAAGAAAAACATGTTTCAAATAAAAAATTTACCTAAGATAATTTTCAACAAAAACGTTTATTAGCATTTTTTGCGTAGAACGAACCGTTCTCTCAGAAACACAGACTGCGGCGATCGGTGGTTTTGAATGTCAGTTACGCCCGCGAAATCAATGATCAACAAAATTTGTATCAGCTCGACGGTAAAAATTCAATATATTTTGATCTGAGTGTCATATCGACAAAAATTAAGATGCATTTTTAAAGTAAATAGTGCAGCTTTTGTATGCAATTTTTGTATTTTGGTGCCAAGGATCTCAGTTTTTATAAAGATGTTGAAACAAATAAACGTGGCGCGATTTTTGCCATTTTTTATGATTCTCATGAGATTAAGATTGGCCACTATGGAGTTTCCATAACTAGAACCTAACTTCAAAACATATAGCATAACATTTTAATTTTTACAACAAATGTGAGGCATTTGAAATATGCTTAAAAAACGCTAAATTTAAACTTTCACATTACAAACAATCTAAAACGTTTAAAACTGCTATTGTTTAAATCCAACCAGTAGGTTTTTTAAAAGTTCCGCTATAAATTACACCCAAAACCGCCTTCTTGGATGCATTTCCCGTGACGTGCGATGGTTTGTAATATAAAAGTTTTAAATTATGAGTTTTGGTCATATTTTAACTGCCTCATATTTGTTGCCAAAATCAAAATCGATTTTTAATGTTATAAATTTTGAAGACTGGTCTCCAATAATGAAAATTTCACTACGACTGGTTAGTGTAAATAATAATTTTATTGATCTCACGAGAATCGTAAAAAAGACAAAGTTTATTTATTGAACAAAATTTACAAAAATTGCATACGAAATCTGTACTCTTCACCTTTAAAACGCATTTTGTGTTTTGTCGATAGGATCCTTTGAACGAAAGATATGGGTTTTTTACCGATACAAATCGAGATGATACAAATTTTATTTAAAATTGATTTCGCGCGGAACTAACATTCAAAATCGCCGGTCGCTTCAAGTTTTGTTTCTAAGAGAACGGTTTATTCTACGCAAAAAGTGTTAATAAATATTTTTGTTCAAAATTATCTGAGCTACATTTTTTACCCCACTACGAGGGGGGTTTTAGGGGGAAACCCGGGGGTTAAAGTGGTAAACATGTTTGCATCTTTTTGTGGGCGCAAACTTGATATTTCCGCTAGTCAGCTTGTTCGTATGATTTTTAGGGGTGATAAATCTCTGACAACTGGACTACAAGTCAACTAAAGGATGCTATTATCTACATCAGACCTCTTTGTCATTTTGAGTTGGTAGCTTTTATGGTTAGCCTTTTATGGTAGCCTTTTATGGTAGCCTATATGGTTTGTCTATTATTGTAAACATTATTTTTGCATTTATTTGATTTGGCGACTTCGTGAACTCAATTTGTTACGTTTAACATATTCTTCTTAGTGAAGGCTTTAACAAATCATGGTCCCAGCTCTGGGTTTTGGGACTAACACCTAAATATTGCCCTACCTCTTCATTTTTTTTGTCCAGGAATAGTAGCGATCTTACCCGTACCAACAAGCATTGGATTGGAATATCACAGGATTGTAACAGTTTTAATGGTTACGGTAATACGATGCAGATGGACAACAATGTTTACATTTTCCGTAGGACGTCATTGCCTTCACTACATCCTTACAAAGATTGAATGATTAAGAAAGAATAACCAGATAAACTCCTAGTTAACTTGATAGAAAACAAGGGATCAAATAAGAACATAAAAAGAACAATTGGACCATTTTTTTAAATAAAAAAATTATTACATATTGGCTATTGCCAATAATGCAGTTGATGTCACCAAGGCTGACCAATAATAAAATGATGTAATTGAAAAATCAGTATTCATTCTTCCTCTTCACCTTTTCTTCTTATAATCCTGGTGGAATTTTCTTAATTTTCTTACGTTCCGAAGTCTAAGGTTGGTCAGCCAACAGTGTTCTGGATCTTCCTCTCTTTTATCTTTCTACCGATTTCCATTTTAAGATTTTCTTTGTATTTGGTCTGATAACATATTCCAGTCCCATCTCCAAAAGTGGTACCAATTTTTACAAACAATTTCTTTCTTAATATTTATATATATATATATATATATATATATATATATATATATATATATATATATATATATATATATATATAAGAAATAGTTCTTTTTTTAGATTTTTTCTTCTTAAATCGTCAGCTCATCGTGTAGGTGGTCAACCGACGCTTCTCTTGTCTTATCTTTGTCTCCATTCAAATAACCTCTTTGTTCATCGCCCATCCGTCATTCTAACAATGCGTCCTGCCCATCTCCATTTGACTATTATTTCGACTATTTCAGCTATATTGGCTATTATTTCGATGACGTCAGTCACCTTGGTTCTTCCCCTGACATCTTCGTTTTTTATTATGTTCCGCAGAGTTATTCCTAATATGGATCGCTTCAGTCTTCTCTGTGTAACTCTTGAGTTTGGTAGCCGACGTTTTTTTTAAAGTAAGTGTTTCACACCGTATGTCAACACTGGGAGGACGCATTGATCAAATACTTTTCGCTTCAGGCATGTGACCAGCTCACTATTAAAAGTTTCTCTCAGTTTTTCTTATGCTGCCCACCTAAGACCGATTCTTCTCTTTAGTTCGTGGGTTTAATTATCCCTGCCAATCACAATTTCATGCCCTAGGTATTTATATTTATCTACAGGTTCTATTCCCTGCCCATCAATACTAATGCTCTGTTTAGGTATCAAATTTGTCATTATTTTTGTTTTCGAGATGTTTATATTTAAATCTACATTTCCTGTGACCTCAACGAGTTCCTGTACCATCTCTCTTGCCATTCCTAAGTCCTCAGCTATTATGACTATATCACCTGCGAAACGTACGTTGTAAGATCTAAGATACTCCATCTATTTTTATTCGCTTTGTCAGCCAATCCAACTTCTTAAAAGCATTTTCCAGCACAGTATTAAAAAGTTTAGGTGACATTGGGTCTTCTTGTCTAACCCTCTGCTCTCTTTTATGCGATTACTATTAATATGTAATTTGACAGTGATTGTTGGCTGTAGGTATATATTGTATAATAATTTTGTATACTATTGTCTAACCTGCATTCTTTAAGCGCCTGTAGTATTTTACTTAGCTCAACTGTGCCAAATGTTTTGTGGAAATCGACCAATATTAGCACTAGAGGTTTACTTTAATGTCATATAGAAAAAGTTTATAGTTTAAAGGTTATTAAAAATTTGAAGTCCAGAAATCGAAGATACAGCTTAAGTTTGAGTCTTCATAGCTTTTTCATGGGGCATATTTCTCTAACAGTTGCACATAAATAGAAAGTTTGAACCTATTTTAACAACCTAATTTTGAAAATAATGGAAGAAACTTTCTTTTTTATTGATTTAACAAGCAATAAATAACTCGTTTTTCGTCCTAGCAAAATCAAGCACACACTGGGCCAGTACGTAATAATGTGTTGACATTATTTACGTCCTTCGGTGACAGCGCTGTGGTGTTTGAATTTGAAATATAAATAATTATATTTAAATAAGCGTATTGTTGTCTCTCCTTCGGAAATATTTCTTTAAGTTTTCACAGAAAGTTAACGAGAAAAATAACCTGTACAGGTTTTCAAGTTTTCGAGTATTGTGTTAGAAGGTGACTACCATACATTGCATATTGTATGAGCCTTGATCACTTGTATTATAACAGGGAAGATTTCCGTTAACAGCTTCCTAATATGAAATCGGAATATAGGTCAGTATTTTTACCATCGAGCAAGAAGATAAAAGAGGGAATCTAATCGTTATGAAAAGGAGACCAAAAAAGTGGCCTCTGATGGCGGGCATATCCGGAAATGCAAAGGCGCTAAATTTAAATTTTCCAACACTTGTTAACAATAGCTGTAAAATATTTTTCAGACAAGAAAGTTTTAATTAAATATTAACGATAATAGTATAAAAAGTGACACAATTGGTAAAAAACTTCAATATAAATAAAATTTCATGTGACAGTTGGGACAAACAATAACATAACCAAACTAAATTTGACTTCTTAAACAAGGAAAGAGACTGTCTATCCTTGTTTAAAGTGGCCTCTCAAGATAGCACTTCCTGTCTAACAATATTTTTGTCCCCACTACCTTTACATTCCCTCTTTTATCTTTTTGCTCGATGATTTTTACTGAATAAGGCATTAACAGTTGTCTCCTATCAGTGGATTTATATCAAAACCACTCCTTTTTGCAGATATATTTTTTAGATATAATGATAGTAATAACATAATGAATATAATTTTTATATACGATATTTTTATCAATACTACAACTTCTATTGGATAAAACAATACAGCCAACACAAATTATACAGAACATAAGCCATAAAATGAACGTAACTAACATGGATAAAATATGTGTAGACAAAAACAGCCCGCTCAAAAAAGTACAAATTAAATGTAGGTATGATCAAACTTATAGGGTTAGTTTTATCCCCAAGATATTAAAGATGTAATAAAAAAGCGCAAGCGAA